TCAGAAGGTTTTTTTCCTTTTTTTCCTTTTTTTTTTTTTTTTTTTCCTCCGCTCCGACACGGTTTGATTTTTCTCTGATCGGTGATTATTGTTACTATTATTTTTTCCCTCCCCGGCCGTTCCTGTCCGTGCTACATGACTTGCCAGCGCTTGAGACTGCGGTCCAACTGTGCTGCCGCCGCCGCCGCCGCCGCCGCCGCCGCCGGTGGTGCCGCCGCTGCCTCGGCCGCCACCACCGCTTCGGCCGCCGCCTCCGCCGCCGCCCCGCGCGCAGCTCCCTCAGCCGCCGCAACTTTCCCCCTCAGACTAGTGTGTGATGTTGGACATGGGAGATAGGAAGGAAGTGAAAATGCTGCCGAAATCCTCCTTTAGCATAAACAGCCTGGTGCCCGAAGCCGTCCAGAGCGACAACAACCACAGCAGCCACAGCCACCACAACAGCCACCACCCCCATCACCACCACCATCACCACCACCACCACCACCACCCGCCGCCGCAGCAGCCCCAGCGAGCGGCCGCAGCCGAGGAGGAGGACGAGGAGAAGGGGCAGCACCTCCTGCCGCCCCCCACCGCCACCGCCTCCGGCGCCCTGGAGGTGGCCAAGGCGGACATGCTGGCGGGCAAAGGCGAAGCGGGCGCGGCGGCGGCGGCGGCGGAGCTGGAGGAGAAGGAGAAAGCGGCCGAGGAGAAGAAGGGGGCGGCGGAGGGGGCCAAGGACGGGGAGAGCGGGAAGGAGGGGGAGAAGAAGAACGGCAAGTACGAGAAGCCGCCGTTCAGCTACAACGCGCTCATCATGATGGCCATCCGGCAGAGCCCCGAGAAGCGCCTCACGCTCAATGGCATTTACGAGTTCATCATGAAGAACTTCCCCTACTATCGGGAGAACAAGCAGGGCTGGCAGAACTCCATTCGGCACAACCTCTCGCTCAATAAGTGCTTCGTCAAGGTGCCCCGCCACTACGACGACCCGGGCAAAGGGAACTACTGGATGCTGGACCCCTCCAGCGACGACGTCTTCATCGGGGGCACCACCGGCAAGCTCCGCCGGCGCTCCACCACCTCTCGGGCCAAGCTGGCCTTCAAGCGGGGCGCCCGGCTCACCTCTACAGGACTGACATTCATGGATAGGGCAGGATCCCTGTACTGGCCTATGTCCCCCTTCCTCTCCCTGCACCACCCCCGGGCCAGCAGCACTTTGAGTTACAATGGGACCACGTCCGCCTACCCCAGCCACCCCATGCCCTACAGCTCAGTGTTGACTCAAAACTCCTTGGGAAACAACCACTCCTTTTCCACGTCTAATGGGTTAAGTGTTGATAGACTAGTCAATGGAGAGATACCTTATGCCACTCATCACCTCACAGCAGCAGCTCTGGCCGCCTCAGTGCCGTGTGGCTTGTCAGTTCCCTGCTCCGGCACCTATTCCCTAAATCCCTGCTCTGTAAATCTCCTAGCAGGACAGACGAGTTACTTTTTCCCCCATGTTCCTCACCCTTCAATGACTTCTCAAAGCAGCACTTCAATGACCGCCAGGGCAGCCTCCTCCTCCACGTCGCCACAGGCGCCCTCCACTCTCCCCTGTGAGTCCTTAAGACCTTCTTTGCCAAGTTTTACAACGGGACTTTCCGGAGGACTTTCTGATTATTTCACACATCAAAATCAGGGGTCTTCTTCAAACCCTTTAATACATTAACATCCATGGGATCAGACTGTAAGTGAACATTTTACACACATTTGCATTGTAAATGATAATTAAAAGGAAAAAAAAAAGCAAAACAAAAAAGTCCAGGTATTTTTTATTAAGTCCCCCATTTTCTGTACGTTTGTTCAGTCTTTAGGGTTGTTTATTATTCCACCAAGGTGAGGAGTGTCAAGGTGCAATGTGGGGAGATTGCATTGTAGACTATGAAGTTTGGAAGACAAAATTATAGTAGAATGTGTATCGAAATAGTGACTGCTTTTGCAATTTTTTACTCAAATATGATAAGTCTATCACTAAAAGCCGCCCGATTCTCCATGTTTGCAGTATTATAAGTTATCATGGACATGTCGGTGGGTGCAGACCTTGAAAGAAAAAAAAAAAAAACAGACAAACCAAACCACTAAATTTGTGAAAACTATAAGAAAACCTTAAAACATAATTTGTATTTAAGCAGAATTAATAATGAAAAATGCCCAAGATCTACTTTTGGCCATTTATTATTTTATTCTTTTCTTTACCGAATTGCTTTTTTTTTTTTCTTTTTTTTGTTCATTTGTTTGTTTGTTTACTTTTAGACCAAAGATTGGGTTTTAGAAAATGCACTCAGTGTACGAAGTAATTTAAAAAAACAGCAAGATTATTTCAGTTTTCAGCACTGCCCGTTCAAATTAATCAGAAGGGGACAAAATTAATGATTGCCTTCAGTTTGTGTTGTGTATATTTTGATGTATGTGGTCACTAACAGGTCACCTTTATTTTTTTTCTAAATGTAGTGAAATGTTAATACCTATTGTACTTATAGGTAAACCTTGCAAATATGTAACCTGTGTTGCGCAAAAGCCGCATAAATTTGAGTGATTGTTAATGTCGTCTTAAAATTTCTTGATTGTGATACTGTGGTCATATGCCCGTGTTTGTCACTTACAAAAATGTTTACTATGAACACACAGAAATAAAAAAAATAGGCTAAATTCATATATACTTGATAGTTTTTTTGTCTCTTTTATTAACCCTAATGTGGCAGAGGCTTTAAAGTTACAGTGAGATCAGAGCGCTGCTTATTGCACGGTCCACCATTTTTCACATGCTCCTTTCTTTCTCCCCCCGCCCCCTCCCATGCTGTCTTTAACTGCAGTATTTTCAAATGTAAAGGATCAGGGTATTGAATCAAACACCATGGCCACTATTTTGATGTCCATTTTGGGACAGAACTCTTATAAAGTCTGCTTAAAATTTGTTAGTAGAAGGCAGAGTGTTTTACTAAAATCTGACTTAGGCTGAAAATGCTTAACATTGCATATGTATGCAAATATACACGCATACATATACAATTTAAGTATATAAGCACGCACTGGGGGAAAGGCCAAGGTGCATTATTGTACAGGTACCTGTTCTTCCTGCAATCTCTGAAATGCATTCAAAGACTTATTGTACCGAAAGAAATTAATTTCCTCTCTGTGATGACTCGAGATATATTAGCAAAGGATGTGTATGTGTGCGTAAATACACACACATATCAGCTATCATATGATCGTTTGACCAAATTTAGCAGGCTATGATATGTGTGTGTATAAAATATAACCCTTATCTTAAAGGAGCGCTCTTCCGGAAGTATCTAGGCTATGTGTATTTATATACTTTTCGTGCTGCAGACACTTCGGCTCTAGGTACTGTGCAAGTAGCGGTATTTTTTGGCAGCCAGCTCAGTGCTGTGCCCCGTGGGCCGGGCGGGGGGGCAGGAGCCGAGCACGGTGAGGTGAAGGCGCAGTCCATGGCAGGGAGGCAGGGCGCCGGGGGCTCACGTGACACCCTGCCTTGCATACCGATGTTTAAACGTTTTAGGGGCTAAAAACAACCCAACAACCAAACAAACAAAGAAAAAGAATCAACAAAGCAAACCTGTATGGATGCACTTACATGTAAAGTTTTGAAAACGAGCTCTTTTTCTCTCAGTGCCTGCTGAAGCCCAGTAACTCACGCAGGCGTCCCTAAGAAAGCTGCGTTGCCCGGAGAATCGATCCATTAGTTTTGAGGGGGCAACGCTGCTAGTAATTTTAAGAAGCATTTAATCCTTGAAAGAATTGGTGTCTTGATGAGTTTAGAGAAGCCTATAAAGGCCACAACTCTTGAAAATAATTAGAAAACTTGTGCAAAAGGTTTAGGAACTAATTGGATCCCGCGGTGAGTCCGCAGAGGACAAGTTGTTCATTTGTTACGTTTGTAGCCCAAACTGAGCTCTGCAGCAGTGCAATAAATCGGCGACTGCTCACAATAGGCCGAATGAAAAATAATCTCTAGGTCGGAGATGTTATCGCAAACGCTTTAAAGAGCTTATCTTAGAAAGACAGAAAAGAGGAAGAAAGAGGGGGAAAAGTGCCGGGGGGTGAATAAAGAAGCAGTAGAAAATCTGAATTCTTGCAAACAGTGTGTTTGTCGTGCTGAAAGAATAAAGGGAGGAAGAGGGAATCTCCCGAAAATAAGTAATATATAAACAGATGCAAACAGATCTACAGGAAAGAGAGAGAAGTGAAAGGTTACGGATGAGAGATGGGACACCCAGCTTTGCACTGTGTGGGGGAGAAGGAGAGAACTCTCTGATATTCTTAGCTTTCACTCTCACTCCTGCAATTCAAAATTAATCATCACTATGAGAAAACGATTGCTTTGTTTGGGGATGGAGAGATGATACCACCACTTGGAAGCTCCTACTCTCCCCCATTTTCTTGACTCTATTGTCATTAAAACAAGAGATGCAAAAATACAAAAAAAAAAAAAAATCCCCCCCCCCCCAAAAAAAAAAAAAAAAAAAGAAAAAAAACCAAACTCTTTTTCAACAAAACTATTGGAAATAATAAAATACAATAGGTGTGATTTATTCTTTAAGCCTAGAGACCCCTTCTGTGTACTAGTGCCTAAACAACTCAAAAAAGCAGCATCTGCTGCAGCTGACAAAGAAAATGATTTATTATTTACCACTCGCAACTGATTGTATGCCGTAGGAAATCCAATAACACATACGTAAAGTATTATTTTGTTTGCAATGTAACAAAAAAAAAAAAAATCTGCTGTCAGTGTACTGAAGGGAGGAAAGAGACAGATCAGGTTGGAGGAAAGCACAATCTCACCATGTCAGAGTTTGAGGTTGGCTAATAAGCATTAATTAGATAAGCGTGATGCATAATAATTCCTGAAAAGAGTAGCCTTGATGTATGTCTCTCCAGACTTAGTTTAAGCCAGCACTGGCTCCCAGAGCTCTCCTTTAGCCTCGGTGTTGCAAAGTATTGCCTAAGGAGTTCAGGTGCCACAGACTTTTCCCTCTTACACCAGGAGCAGGGGTGGTTGCTGAGCTGGTAATTTATTCACGTTTCCATACACGTTACCAGGAATCAGACTATTTTTGTAAAGGAAAAAAATAAGTACAACCCAAACCAAAAATAAAATAACTCCAGTAAATCGCGAAAGTTGTCGTGGATTGTGTCAGGACTGCTAAGGCCCCAAATATGTCTTTACCTCTGCCTGCTCCTCAGACAGAGAAACCCTTTTGTTAGCTGAGGCTGATCTTTGCCCAGGCTCGTTCGGCACTGAATTCGAGGTGGTGGTTTGTTTGTTTTTCTTTTTGTTGTTGCTTTATTGTTGGGGTTTTGTTTTGTTTTGTTTTGATTTGTTTTGTTTTTGTTTTTGTTTTTGGTTTTTTTTTTTTGTGATTTTTTTTTTTTTTTTTTTGTGGTTTGGGGTTTTTTTTGGGGGGGTGGTTTAACATACAATATTTCTGTTATCTGAGAACTTGTTTCCGCGGTGGTTTATATGTCAAATCCTCAAGCTAAGCCTTTAGGATTTTTTAAACATGTACATTTCTAGAATGATGCAGTGTCTTAGCGTCGTTTCTTTAGCGTTTCCTAATTTAGAGTGTTTATGGGGGACGGGCGGTCTTTATGGAATTAAGGAGCTATTGTTATATTCTTAGTTGATGTTGGAGGTGATTAACTTTGCTCGCGTAGATCGTAGGAGAAGAAATCTGCTCATCAAGAAACATCCAATTACGACTTTAAGACTGCCTTCGCAAACATGTTTGAAGCATAATAAACAGTAACTCGAATTCTCAACGCGATATTTGGCCAACAAATTTTTGTCATATTTTAGATATCTTTCTCTTATTACAGTCAAATATCATCCCTTATGTGGAATGTATTCTTACAAAAGGGCTTAAAAGAAAGTGAACAAAAATGTAATTTGGCTTAAATGGCACAAAACTTCTGCTTGGGTGAGTAACATTTTTAAATCTGATACTTGAAAAAAATAGTTTAACCGGGACGTCATTTTGCTCTTTATAACTTCTTCTGATGATTATTAAGATTTATGTCAGAAATTATGATTCAGGTACACACCCCCTCACCACTTGTGTTAATATGAGGTCTCAATCACCATGTATTCAGTATTCACTCAAGCAAAACTCCCACTGAACTCCGGTTACGTTTTGACTGATCCACATCAGAGTTTTGCTTAAGAAAGAACACTGAGCAACACTCCTTTTATTAGCGACTTTATTCTTTAATTGTCGTATTTTCCCTTAGGATGGAAGATAAACAAACAAACAAACAAACAAAAAAGTCTGCCTGTAGATAATCACCGCTATTGCACTGTGATCGCGAATAATACACCCGCCCGAGAAAGTATATGCGCATACATCTTACGCGACTACAAAATCAGCGATTGGCAATAAATATGTATACAACATATAGACACACACAGACTGCAGAGATGTCTATCCATTGCACTACTGTCTGTAGTAGCTTCTCTGCTTTTCTGTGCACTGAAGTGTCCTTGTTTTTAATACCCCCCCCCCCCCTTTCCGCCCCGTGGTGAAGGTGCCTGGGTAAATGGGTCAAAAACTAGTGGGCAAATGGGTTAGGAAGAGGTGAAGGTGAAGATCAATAGAGGTTTTAGGGCTGGCTGTATCTGTTGTGCTGGGTTTGTGTGACTGTGCCCAGAGGGCGGAGTTCCTGCACATTCCTACCTCACCGGAGAACCTGCCCTCAACTCCACTTCAGCTACTCCAGAGAGATGGGACCCTCCAG